TTTACTAAAGAATGTAGTTCTTTTATAGATACATGAGGCTGATTGGTGACCCATCTGTCTGCCTAAAAGTTGTCATCTTTTTTTTAAGACTAAGTGAAACTCAATAGCTGTTGCAAAGAGCAAAAATTATTTTTTTAATTGAGCTATTATAATTTATTGAGCTAATATAATTGTTTTTGATTGATGTTTAAATACAATAGTTGATTTCATTTTCTCCATCCTGCAGTCATGTTCTGTGCTGATTGTCCCATAATTCTCCATCTGATGCAGGCTCTCACTTATGGAGGGGGAACTTCTGGCTGCCCACAGGGCACTTTGAAACCCTTAGACCTTGCAGTACTTTCTGTTTTCTTTGCTCTTTAAATACTGACTAGGCATGTACACACTGACTCTGAAACCAGAATTTTGACTCACAGAGAGAATAAATTTAATCTGGCCTCAGTGGAGATAATGAGTGTTCACCGAAAGTTACGCCCACCATCTGGGGCTGAATCAAGCTGTAACACCACTGGCACTGGGACAATTATGTAAGGAGTTTAAGTTTGTGTACATGGTGGTGGATGTGTAGGTGGCATTATCCGTGGTCTTCAGAGGCCCAGTTGTACTGCCATTGAATTTAGCTGAGGCTTTTTCTCTGCTGTGGTGAGAGGGAAGATTTAGCCCCTGTTTAGCTAAATTCCCCAGATTAACTTTTGGGTGAAAGCTCTGGGGTTTTTCTGTAAGCATGTGTAATATAATGTGTGCTCGGTCCAGTTTCTTGATTCTAGAATGAAACCTGTCATTATCACTGTGATCTTATTTAAAGAAAAAGACCTATAGAGGTTTCCTACGAGCTTTCAAGTACAAGTGAACAGTCAAGAATAGGAAACAAAAGTAGCTAACCATGAAAATGGGTTATTTTGGGTGTAACAGTTTAAAAACTTGCAAGAAGGAAAATCTAGACACCTTCTTCATGCAACTCCTCGCTAGAATACTTTGCAATCTCACTTTAAGCTCTCACATTGCCCATGTTTTCTGAATGCCCAAACAGAATTTTGAAGAGCGAGTAGTCTGTATTTACTGCACAGCTACCAAAGAGTGTTTTAGTACTGGTTTGTGGTTCAAATGCCCGTTCATAAACATCACTGACCATCTTTCATTATGAAATATTGCATATTAATATTGCCTTTAAAATTATTGGCAAATCTGTTTTCTCATGATAATCAGTCACTTCTAAAGCACAAGCTATAACATCTAATATATAATTCACTTTAGTGGAGGCAATTATGTTGATTGCAAAATCCATCAGAATACACTGGCTCTAAAAATAAGAGTGTATGTGGCAGTCCATATTTAGCAAATTGAGGTTATTAATCAGACCCTGTTCCTTGCATATCATTCATCCATATGTTGAGCGTTTTTCAGCACCCTTGTCAGGGAGCGGCAAGAGCGGGCAGCTCTGCAAGGCAAGGTGAGCAAGAACTGAGGGTGGCAACAGTGCAGGCAGGAGCAGTGGCCTCAGCGACAAAGTCTCAAGGTCAAGCCAGGCAGCCAGGGCAGCGCTGGTAAGTTACAGGGCTGGTTAGAGGCGTATCTACAACGTAGCTGAAGCCAGGGCCAGGGGAAGTAGCTGGGCTTAAGCACAGCTCCTGGGCGCAGGGGGCCTCAGTGGAGGCCCTGGATGGGCTGCTCAGGGCAATTACAGCTCCTTGGTGTACTGCAGGCCCTGACCAGGACCTTTGTGGGGTAGATAAATAGAGAAATATATAGAGAAATAGAGGAGCTTTTAGATGGAGACGCTTCCTGCAGATTGTACTTCTGCATGAAGCTGTAAAAACACTGACAACTCATACAAACCATGGGATTAGAAAAGCAGACACTGTCATTCTCTGAAATGCTGAGGGCTCATGACTCTGCTTTGAGAGAGGAAGTGACTGACATCCTCCCCAGATGCTCAGGGTCAGGCTACTGGACACATATAGTTACTTCACACATGCCTTGGTGCAGAAAAGGAGCTGTACCTGCAAAAGATGGGAGTATCCATATTTCAGATCTCATTGCTCTAATAAAGTCAGAAGAACAAACCCTCATTTCTCTGTGTCTTCAAATGTTCTGGCTGAAAATGAGAGTAATTTTCACATTCTTCTTGCTTTCCAATATGCTAGTGAATTTTGTTACGTGCAAGCCAAAGAATATGATAACGAGAGTGTGAATTGGTGAACTCAAATTCCTGAGCTGCTGCCAGCTTCTCATGTGACTACAAGTAGCTCTCAAACAGATCCTCAAACACACACTTCTCTGATAAGGATGTAATTGTTAGTGCGTAGCAATGGCAGTAAATTGAGTCAAAGAGTAGGAATGTCCCTCAGGTCTATTTTCTTCTACACTAGTGGATATGTCATCTTTCCCAAATAACTAAATCTTCCTTGGGCATATTCTGCCTTGTCAGCACTGGCACATAGAAACATTTCTGACATAAAGAATCCAAGCCACAAATGTTATAACCTTCAGGCTTCTGAAGGGGAGGGGATCTGGATATTCCAGAGAAAAAATGTCTGAGGGATGAACATGATTTTTTGAGTCTTGGCTAAGATATGCTCATAATGAAAAACAGGTGTTCTTATATGGACTGTTTGCTATGGAGTTGCAGCAAAAAGGGTCATTAAAAGAACCCTGCAGGGAAAATACTGCAGTACAGTCGCACAGCGAAGACAAGAGTTTTCTTAGACACAGTATTAGATTAATAGTGTGGCAAGCTAATTCCTCTCTCCTGCTCCTGGTGACTTGATGGTTGTTTTGCCAGTGTTGAGAACTCTGGGATCTGAAGATGCTGACAGAAAGATGGACAGTCAACCACCTCTGCAGCAACAAGTTTTGTTGGAGGTAGCAGGAGATGCTAATCCCAAAATATACCCACAATGGGACTCAAGGAAGTGCTAAGATGACTAAAGGTGCCCATACAGGGACCATGAGAATGTGGTTTACAAGGGCTTAATCAAGAGCAGAGAACAGGGATTTTGTTTTGTTTCTGTTCAGATGGTATCAGACGGGTTGGACTAGACAAAATTTGACCCCTGGAATTCTCAGAACTGTCTACACATTTCTATTAAATATGTATTTTATTACTAATATTTTCAAGGGGTTTCAGGATTTTTCTTCTTGTTCAATGAAATAACCGATTTTGAAGGAAAAGCGAGGAAAATGCTTCACTGTAAAAGGAGCTAAATGACAAAGACCATCTCTCTCCCCAGTATTTTCTTACCACTGTACTGATTGTGGATGCAACGTAGGTACAAAGGTTCATCCAGAATTCATCCCCTCATCTTTTTGTGACATTTCAGCATGCATGCCAATGCATTAGTATAAGTGTATACTAATATTAAAATGCATGGAAACTGAGGCTATAGAAACTGTTTGTCTGCTATACTTGGTGTGTGATGTGGATTTGTATCTGTATTTGTAGAGTTTGTAGACACAGAAATTGCTTTGGAACCAGAGGGGATATGGGAGTTCAGGGGATATGGGTGAGCAGGGAATAGAGGAAGAGACCATGGCTTCTTATGGAAGTGGAAAATGAAAAAGTATGAAAGAAAATAGACCAGATAACACACACAAAATGAGAGGGGTAAAAAGACAAAAACTCCATTAAAATATAACTTCATTTTACATCAAGTAACACCTGTAACTGCAGCTGGAGTTATTAGAAGTGCTTGTCATCAGTTCCACTGACATAGCATCCACTGGAGTGGGTTTGCATACATTTGCAGGTGACTTGTCAGAAATAAATGTTTCCATGGAGTTGTAAAATATAATTGGTTTGACTACCTTAAAAATCAAAGCTATATATAAGATGAGCACTTCCTTCTTTCTAGTGATTGCAGGAGTTAGGTTCCTATGTGAAGTTATTCCTCTCTGCTCCTGTAGTGGAGAAGCTGGCAGTCAGGAAGCAGGAACATTCCTAACCACAAACAGTAAATATGGGCTGTTTTTGCTGATTGTAGAGACCACAGATAAGTTAAGGTTTTCTTACCTACACTGATCAAAAGGTTCCTCCATCTCACACATGAGAAGGTGCTCTGAAGTAATGAAGTGGGTAAATATTGCACAATAAGGAATTGTGCTGTACTTGTCTTACTTGTGGGGGAAGCTGCACAATATTCAGAGTTGATGTGAAGTATTTGTTGCTAAATAAAGTCTATTGGAAATGTACTTCATTCAATGTTAATGGAGTGCATAAAAAATTCCGGAGCAAGCAACGTGATGCAAACCACTGTGCTGTTTATGTAGTGTTAAGTTTCATTTTCATCCCTGCGTCCTTTCAGTATTTAGCTTTCAGTATTCCATGTTATTAGTTAAGATTCTGCTCTGTCTGAATGAGGTGGAGGCAGAACAGCTCTAATGAAGGATTTTGGATCTAGAAAATAAATGAAAGAATATTTTTTTCTCATTATATCTAATACGTGATACACTTTCTTCGTTTTTTGGTCTCGTTATTTTCTGTTTTAAATATTGGTTATAGCAGACTAATCTGTATTAGACTTGAATATTATCTGGAATTAATTTTTAGCTAAAATCTTCCTAGGTTGAAATTTTGTGGTTTCTAAAGATAAAGTAAACAAAACCATGTATACACGTTCTTGAAAACCTATTTGACTAATATAGCAGCAGCTCCTGATAAAACTCTTACACATTATGAGTTATACACACACAATTTTTGCCATTTTTTCTTTAATGTGCTAGTTCCCTGGCTATTAAACAACCTCACCCAAGTATCTCATGCATTTTTTATACAATGTCTGTTGCATAAAGCAGGTTTTATAATTATTTAATGAATGTGTATCTGACCCATCATTTTAGTTACAATACTGGTAGCATTGATCGTGTATTTAAAGCTTTTTAGAATAGAGGGAGAAATCAAAACAAAAAATACTAGCAGTAGAATAGAGATGAAGCCTCTAGATTTCTGGTCTGCTGTGTTTGTGAGATAGTAGCAAATTCTGTGTTATTTTATTCTGTTCCAGCCGTTTACCTCTGCAAGCGGACGATGCAAAACAAAGCAAGGCTAGAGCTAGCAGACTATGAAGCTGTAAGTACCTGGGGAAAAGTAAATTTCTCTGCTGGGCCTAATGAGCATGTGAAATAATGTAAGCATGAGAACTGTAGGCATTATGTGTGAAAATTTATTAGTTATCCACTTTTGCCAGCATGTGGGTCTGACAGTGCTCAGTAGTCATAAATGCCATTTGAGAGACTGTAGTGAAGACTAGATGGGCAAAAGTTGAGATTCTGATCCATCTCTAATCTTACTCTGCTCAGATCACCATGGCAGGATCAGAAATAACTGTTCACAAATCCTAGATACACCACAAGTGTTTGAAAGAAATTGTACTCTACACTGTATAAGGTTTGAATAAAGGATCTCTGGCAACATTTTCAAAAGCACTTGGTAGCTGTAGAAATATAAATCTCATTCTTTAAAGTGATTCTGGTGATTGAGCCCTTGTCCAGTCAGTTAGGTGAGAGGCAAAGAGAGTCAGACTAGAGGCACTTCCCACTCCCTGAAAGTTGTGCTGTGCCCCAGGCAAGGTAAGATAATTGGGGCCAGGAAGAGCCAGACAAAGAGGGTGTTTGATTAGCTGATGAGGATGACACTCAGGAGAGAGATGTCTTGAATTCCATCCCTATCCCCCCAAAAGTTGATAAATTTTTCATGAAAATGTCAACGTAAAATTCATGAACAGCCCTGGCTCTGCACTGAAAGCTGTCCAGCTGTGCTCCTGTGACATGAGAGCAGGATAGTCAGCCAGGCCTCTCAACATGCCAAAAACTCCAGCCACAGCACCTTGCTGACACACTTTATTGCTTCTTCTGGCACAAGCTTGCTATTCAGTGTACTGCACTGTGGGATATGCATAATTTTATACTTACATGCCTTAGAAAATTCACCTCCAGTATACAATCCACGAGAGCCTTTACTGGTATTGACAAAATCTCTAGAAAGTCTCCTCTTCACTCTCTGAAGTCTTTATTTTCAGTAAGTATGTCATAGAGATACATTTGCAATGCATAGAAATACAGTTAAAGCAACACTTTTTGTTTTGTTCTTTTATAAGAACCTCAGCCTTCTCCATGTTAACAGACTGCATACTGCTGCCATTTAAGCTGGGGAGAGACTGGAAAAGCTCTGTTACAGACAGTGAAACTGTTCCAGCATCAATGGAGGAAACAGTTTTGCTAAGATTTTGCAAACCTTCTTCCTGTTATTATGAGTAGGCTGTAGGATACATGTATTTCCTGTACAGTAGTGAAGAACTATAGTCTACATTTTTTTAAAATGAGGACAGCTGTAGAGTCTTGGAAGATTCCTATACTACCAAAATATTGATAGCTTCTTATTATTATATTTTAAATAAATTGATAGGCATCCCACATTGTTCAATGCAAACCATTTGTACACATGACTGATGGGAATTGTCATGTGGATCATCCAGTATGGAAAGTACTGCTGTTATCTTTCAGTATTAGGTACTTTCAAAACGACTGTTTCTCTGTATTATTACAAAATTATTCAGCCAGCACCCAGTATATAAAAATACTTCAGATATCCCATGTTCTGCTGAAGGTTGTATCCACCCTTGTCATCAGAGTTTCAAAGCTAAAATAGTCAGGACATTCAAAAGTAGATAGATCTAGTATTCCATCCCATTTAGTGTCAAGCAAAGATTGTATATTGGATAAGTAAGGTACATTTACACTGGCACAGATATCATGACTTGTATTACATCTTGTGGGGGCAAGAGGAGGAGGAGGGAAAGATAAGCTAAAAGCTGTTAAACAGTAAATAACTTACAACCTAACCCACTAAAATTGTGATGTATTTTCAGGAGAGTTTGGCCAGGCTACAGCGAGCATTTGCTCGGAAATGGGAGTTTATTTTTATGCAAGCTGAAGCACAAGCAAAGTAAGTTCCTTTGAAGACGGGGAGTTTTGGTGTTGCATGCTTTTTGAAGGGAGAAGGGGTGGGAAAAGTGATTGGACACTTCTTATGTTTAAAATTACTGTCATTAACATGGTTTCTTTTAAATATCCTATAACATTGACAGAGTTGACAAGAAAAGAGACAAAATAGAGAGGAAGATTCTTGACAGCCAGGAGCGAGCATTCTGGGACGTGCACCGGCCGGTGGTGAGTGCCAATGGGGCCACCCTGCCTGTGAGCAGGGCCAGTGATAAATATCAGCCTCTGTGGAGCATTGGGGTAGCCTGGGAAAAAGTAAAAGGGCTGTAGGGCTGGGGATTGGGGCCCGCCTCCCTTTTTTGCAGGATCTGTGGTTTATATCATTATACTATTGAAGACTGCAGATGTGTGTACACTCAGTTTGGGGTTTTTGGTTAATAGATTTGTTATGTTTGATTTCTTGAATCAGAAGATACCCGTCTTTGACTATTACTATCTCAAAGGTTTCCTGAGGTATGAGTCACACAACCAAAATTATCAGCATAGGTAAAAATACCTTTAAATAAATCTGACTTTTTTTTTTAATCTGCTTTTTTCTTGCTAAGCCTTTCAACTTCACTCTGGTCATATTTCCAAGCTATTTTTAATGTACATAAAGGTTAGGTATTGTTGGCTTTGAGCTGTGGAAGTCATACACTGTCTAAACAAGATTTTTTGTTCTTTGAATTCCTTGTCAAAGTCCTTCTGAAACAAAATAAAAAAAAAAGGTCTTAAGTAATAAACTACCTTTGAGAGCTCAAACTTTGAGAAAGAATGTCAAATGTCACAAGACTTCCAATTAAACTGTGAGAACTCAATAATCACACTTTTTTGCTTTACTACAAAATTATATCTATTTCCCTTACCTGGAGTTAAGCCTTCATCTTCTGTGTACAGAGTTTGGTATCATTACCAATGGAACCAAATATGGACTATATCTTCCACTGTGACACTGGGAAAAGATACTTAACTAAAACTAATTGTTCTGGGGAAGTAAAGTTAGGTGATGATACCTGTAGAAGAGGTGAATACAGTGAGAAAGTTTTGAATAAAAAACAATAAATTTGGACATGGTCAGCTTGCATTTGTGACTGTGGAATTGAAAAAGCAGTAGAAGAAATGGATTTTTTGGTACGATTTAGAACGTCAGGTAGAGAAAATCATTTGAAATGAAAGATTCAAACCACAGGCATTACATCGAAAAAGACTGGGACATTATTGCCTAGTCACTGGCATAAAATAAGGAAGGAGGGCAGAAAACAGTCTGCCATCTGATGTTGATGGGAGTTACGTATAGAATAGACACAAAAAGTTTCTATGGACCTGAGAACTTTGAAGGTGCAGACAGCTTTTATATTAGCTGCAGAAATGGATCTAAGGGTTTTGAATCTGGGAATGAGATGCTATTTCCAGGTTTGGAAGAGAAGATGAATTGTTGCAGTTTCAAGTTAAGATATAGGCAGACAATAAGGAGAGAATTAGAGGGACCAGGACAAGAGGAAATTTAATCTGATTAAGAGCTTTGGCTGGACTGTGGATAAATTTGCCTGGTGCAGCAGATGTTTTTAATCTGGCTGTAGACATACCCAGGAAATATCAGAGGCAAAAGACTGGCTTACAGTCAGCAATGTAGGCTCCTGACTTTAGGAGATACAAATAGAAGAATGGAGAGGTTCATGCATTGGCTAACTAGCTCCCTCACTAGCTAGTGAAATACTCATTTTGAGAACATTGTTATGAATTTACTGTCACAGTAAAAGCCAGAAGCTTCTATTAAAAAGAATAAAAAATAAGAGGAACAGACTGAAAAGAGGAAGGTGATGCTAGAGATAATTACAATTTCTAATGGCTTTTCAAACCCCCCAAAAGCTCCCCAAAAACTCACAGAAATGTTGCTGCAACTCTGGAGAGCTAATTTTAGAAAACTAGGTAATGTTTGGATAAGAATCTGGGGTTAATGCTTATTTTTATTTACAGTTTTTCATCTTTTGATAAAAATTCAGAGGCTAGGGGCAGTGATAGTATTGTTCAAAATCCACCTCGATTTTTTTTTTTTTTACTGAAATGAATTTTGAGAACTAAATATTTCATTATTTGCTTTTTTTTGTTTAGGTGAGTAAATAAATATTTTCCAGAGTTTTTTCGCAGGTGTCCTGGTCTCCAGTTGCTTTGTTTCTACCTACCTGGCTACAGTGCTGGTACAGAACCTTTACATATAGAATATAATCTATGAATACTAAATCTGCATTTTATTTCAAAACAGAGATACTTTAAGACGATGAACGGGATAGAAGAGGGAAGCAAGCCATCAGTCGAAAAGGACAGTGCACCAGTGCCCAACAGGAATGGGAGACATAAAAAAGAACAGCTATATGACACTGAAGCCAGGAGAGTGTAGCTGCAGAAAAAGAGCATGATTTGGGTATCAGAAATGTCACTGTGACTGATAAATTTAAAATAAAGGACATGAACAAAAGTTTGATGTGTAAAGAGCATTTGCCTCAAAGGCACCTCTGTTTCATAGGTCCCAAGTCAAAGTCAATCCTGCAGGTGGCTACAGAGGCCCTAGAAGATTTATGCTATAATCTGAGAGACAGACAAATGCTTGAAAGTCATCACGGCTGTTACTTTTGATCAGCTGGCTGGCTGGCTATCGCCCACAACTTTTTCCTAGGTTTTCAGGCAGATGATGCTTGGAGATGAACCCGAGAAAGTGGATTTGGAGAGGAGTTTTTTCAAATAGTCACCTGTTCCTCAATTTTCTTTCGAGACACAGTTAAGAGAACAGTTTTGATGTTTCACTGATCAGTTTCCACTCCGATATTTACTTAATTGCAGTTTCACTATGTATTTAATTTTTTATTTTGGTGTATTTTAGTGTAATGTGGAGTGTAATCTCGGTCATTTCTGTAAATTCCAGTTGCTGCTTTATGTAGAAAGATCTTAGCTTGCAGCTAGAAAGAGCATGACTGAGCTTCAACTGTAGGTACTGCAGCCTTGCAGAGACATTCCTGAACAACTTTTAATCTTACCAGTTCAGATACCAATCACAGTAAAACCACGGAAATGTGTCAGGGAGAGCTGTATAAACTCCCTTGAGATCCTGAGCAGCAGACCTAGGGTAAAGTCCATGCCATTATTTCTAAGGTATAGCCAGTACCTAACATAGGTCTGAGATTAATATTATTCACATATAGTGACATATTTCTCTTTTTGATGACAGAGTAAACATATCTTAAAGCCTTCCTTTTCTTTCCACCTGCCTAGAAAGTGTATCATTTTCATAATTTTGAAACCTCTATCGATAACAGACTATGGAGCTGTGCAAAAATTGGTTAGGAGGATTAGGGAGTTAGTCAAAAAGCAGTAACAAATCAAGCTAAATTGGGGAAGTCAGTTCCTTCCAGGCAAAAGAAATTAAGAAGCTGCTCTTTTTTGAAAAGAAATGTCATGCTCCTGATTAAAGTCTTCATAAAAGAACTCATAGATTTCCTGAATTATCATCTCGGTTTAAAACCCATAATCTTACATTTGTTAAAAAGGGACAAACAGGTACTAAACCAGTAAATCCCCTGAAACATCCTCAAACCCATATCAAATACAGTAGGAGCAGAGTAGCTACAGCTTGCTGTAAAATTAACTCTTTTAGGCAGTGAGCAAGGATAGCTGATGTCTTGCCGCTACAAACAATTCACTGAGTTACACATTAGTGTAATTTAAATGAAATGCATAATAAAGGCCTGTTGGGTACTTGTTGAGATTCAGATTAATTCAGAAGATAATGGGGGAAGTATCCTTTTCTCCTGAAAGTCATCTGTATACCCCTGAACTATAAGAAGTTGAAAAAACTTTTTATTTTCTCCAATGCCTCTGACCTTTGTCATCAGTCAGAATGTTGGTTGCATTGCAGTCATATTTAGCAGGTTTGTGTGCAGTTGTTTTTAAAAGGAAGATGGGAAATATGCAACAGCTTTCTAAGATGTGCTAGAAAACTACACTGGTGTGTGTCCCTCTCCAAAGTCTAAACTCTGGGGATGGTTTAGTTATACTGTGACTTAATAAAGCATGAGCATGAGTCAAGATGTGATCCAGTTCCTCCATCCTGCCATTTGGTTAAACCCAATCGCAGGACTTCTGTTCCCATTGCTACCACTGGTTTGCTGAACGATGGTGATCGTTTTGCTTCTCTGTGAAAAAAATGAATAGAAAATATTGATAAGGGTTAGACTCGATGGTCTTAAAGGTCTTTTCCAACCTAAATGATTCTATGATTCTATGAAAAACAAAACCAATATTTGCGTGATTTAATACAATAAGACAAAGTATCCAGGGTGGGTATGTCTGGTAAGGGCAGCAGCAATGTTAAGGGCAAGTGTGGGTTTAAGATAATTCACTGATCATGTAAAATTCAGAAATATGTATGATTTCTGTATTTGCGGGTTTCATGCCATTGTTTCCTAGTAGCAAACTAGGAAAACAGTAATCTTTAAATTTTTTAAATGTTGTCACATGTCCCACACCTTTTGCTTCTCTCTCTATTTTTTTATGAGATTCTAACTCCATTAATCTCATTTTATCTGTTTATATTTTAAAATTGTGTTTTATGTGGTCTGAACATGACCCTCAGCATCTGAGCCAGCAGGTAATATTACTGCGTGTCTAGGGTCATGCGGCGGATACTTGAGGTTATTTGTTCTGGGTTTTCTTTTCTTTCACTGCTTTTGTTTTTAATGACTTTTCCATCCTGTCCTTCAAGATCAGCCTCAAAGACTTGGCAAAAGACTGAATTTAACTTGGCTAAGATGGCGCAATCCTTCATTTCACACTTTGCATGCTACAAATCCTAGACTTTTCTGGGCCTGTCACTTGTTTAGCCAGAGAACACTTCTGTCTGCTTTATCATAATATTTTCAGAAAGTTTTTTAACATCTCCAGGAAACAAATGTGAATCTTGCCATCCGACTTCTCTAGTGATGTATCTGCACAAAATTTTCATGTCTTCTTTTGCACCTGTTTCACCGTATATCCTTACAAGGGAGTTACCTCTCCAGCAGACAGGGAATGCAGCCAAAGCAGAATTGGCAGTCTCAGATAATTGCACTTCTGGTAATGAAACAAAGCCTTATACAATGTTTTATTTCAGAAAATGGTTATAAAGTTTATGATCCATGCTTGCATCTGTTTGAGGC